GACAGCTCAGAGCCTGGAGTCTGCTTCAGATTCTGTATCTCTCTCTCTCTCCCCCTCCCCTGCTCATTCTCTACCTCTCTCTTTCTCTCAAAAATAAATAAATGTTAAAGTAAATAAATAAATAAAGGTAAAAGATGTAGATTTTCTTCATTCTTGGCCTGAAAAGGGTGTACACAATTAAAAAACAAAACACCTAATTACTGACTCTTGTATTAAGCAAAATGGAAGTATCATAATGTCTTTAATATGTGTCTTAATTTTTTTTTTCCCCAGGGTTTTAAAAACCTACATTAGGGTTTAAAAATTGCTTGACAGGGGCGCCTGGGTGGCGCAGTCGGTTAAGCGTCCGACTTCAGCCAGGTCACGATCTCGCGGTCCGTGAGTTCGAGCCCCGCGTCGGGCTCTGGGCTGATGGCTCAGAGCCTGGAGCCTGTTTCCAATTCTGTGTCTCCCTCTCTCTCTGCCCCTCCCCCGTTCATGCTCTGTCTCTCTCTATCCCAAAAATAAATAAACGTTGAAAAAAAAAATTAAAAAAAAAAATTGCTTGACAGATTGCTGGTCACCAAGTAGATTTGGACAAAGCTTGAGAAAGATTCAAAGATTATTGTAATGTTTATATCATGCTGCATTAGGAAAGCATGTTTTCCCACAGCTGAATTCCAGTATCACTAAGGGAATGCTATAATTGTTTAATTTTCCTAAATGCTGTATCGTGTTCGGCTGAAAGGTTGATGAATGAAAGATACGCTAATACTAACTGGACATGAACAAAAGGAATAACATAAAGCCGTGAATGATTTTATTGGGGATTTTTACCACCGCAGGCATTTTTAGCAGTAATAAACTATGAAGGAATAGAAAAAAAACTCTTGAGGAAAGAATGTAAATTATTAGAACTTTAGGGGATGAAATTTAAGTAGCGGTACTTTACGTTACTGTTTTTCATTCTTTTACACTACTTTTGATAACGGGACCTATCGGTGATGTCAGTTTTTATTATACAGAAAGGTAATACAGAGGATTTTCATTGTTTGTGATTTCTTACCTAGAAATGTGTTGTTCATTCTGCTTTATTGCGACTGACTTCCTTTAAAAAACAAAAAAAAAACAAAACAAAAAAAAGAGAAGCCATTACAAGCTATTCTAATTTCCTGAAAATAAAGGTTAAGTATCTTATCTAGTTTACTTGACAGATACATTTAAAAAGGCGAAAGATTTATGCAATCTGAAGAGAAACCAGAGTATTGACAGATACATTTAAAATAGTCCTCTTCTACTTAAAAAAGAAATTAAATAAATTTATTTTACATATGTGGTTTTTGTTTTTTAATATTGGTTTCTGGCCTCTTTACTAATAATTTGTTTTAACTGATAGTTTGAATAGTAGTTTATATTCCTTACAAGATATCTATGAAATAATGAGAAAACTATTACTTTAATCTGTTTCTTGGTTGGTAAACTAAGACATTTATCAGTAGCAAACTCTTTTAGAAAAAAGTTTGTGTTACCATCAGGCTAGTAATAGATTTAAAATTTTCTCTTGTCTTGTGTTCATTTTCAGTGTATTAGGTCAGGAGGTGTTTTTCACTCATGCATAAATTGGGAGAGAAAATGGACACTGTTTTTATATCAAGTCTTATAGTAAACTTTAACTTACTTTTCTCATATCAAGATATAGTTCTGTATCCTGTGTTCTCATGGTGACTGTTGGCATGCATGGTCCAAAATTATTTGCATTTTGATTTTTTTCATATGTTTGTATTTCAGTGTTGGTATTATAGTTCCCAACAGCACGACTGCTTTTTCCCATTCTTAATTTTCTAGCTTTGTGTTCTTGTTAGGTAGAAGCTTTGCAGGAGCAATTTGCATTGCGGGTACAGCCCCTGCCTTGGAGAAAGGCTGCCGTGATGGTGTGGTACAAACCTTGTAGGGTCAGAAACTCCTCCCAACCTGTGGGGGGAGTTTCCCAACTGACTGGAAGCAGCCTCCATTAGAGACCATCCCACACTGTCTGTTTCAGCTCCTCCCAGCCCAGAGAGAACCAATACTATCCAATCCCAAAACAACGTAGGAGCCAGCTCTCCCACCTTGAGAGTGTACTTCCGATTTAATAAACTGCTTTGCACTTGCTACTTTCCTTCTGGCTGTCTTTATTCGGGTGTGGATCCTCACGTAAATCTTCTCATGGGGAATCAAGAGACTGAGGCCCCCATTCACACAACCCAGACTCACCCATAACATTTTGATCTAGAGGTACACTGTCACTTTCCAGCCTTTGAAAAAAATGGTTTCAGAAGAGTTGGTCAGAGTTTTAAGATGGTCCTTCATATTCTTCTAAAGCAGAGATGGTAGTTTTACGTTTTAAAGACTTTTAGTCACTTTTTGCTGAAAGTGGAAATGAGCCTACCAGAGATTATAATACATAATTTAGAATAAGATTTCCTAGGGCCCACAGTGGAGGCAATGCATGATCAGTCAAAACTTCCTCTTAGTGTGACTTACCTTAAGCCCTTTTCTAGAAAGATACTATTTAGGATAATAAGGATAGTTAGAATGTTCAAAGTTTAGTTTAGGCCTTAGCACTAGAACCAAATCTATTTGCTTTCTGCATCTCAAGAAAGCCAAAAGGGTGAATTCCTCTAGTGGTTTTTTGCTTCCTTAACATGTGACCAAAAAGATGATCATTGTATCCAATGAGCTTTACAATATGGGTAATATGAACAAGTCTTGCTACTTAGATATATTGTTAACATTGCAATATTTATTTTCAACAGGTGAGCATTAAATTTTTTTTTAATGTTTATTTTTGAGCAAGAGAAAGAGAAGGAGACAGAGTGTGAGTGGGAAAGAGCAGAGAGAGAGGGAGGGAGACACAGAATCCAAAGTATGCGCAGGCTCTGGGCCATTAGGGCAGAGCCTGACGCAGGACTCGAGCTCATGATCCATGAGATCATGACCTGAGCTGAAGTTGGACGTTTAACTGACTGAGCCACCCAGGCACCCCAGGAGGTGAGCATTTTAAATGTAATTTGGAGTAAAAAATATCTTATATGCTTTATGTTAATTTCATAAATGGAAATGTAAATATTGCAGTAGGAAAATACAACAGTTGATTTTTTTTTTAATGTTTATTTTTGAGAGAGAGACAGTGTGTGTGGGGGAGGGGCAGAGAGAGAGGCACACACAGAATCTGAAGCAGGCTTCAGGCTCTGAGCCGTCAGCACGGGGCCTGACATGGGGCTTGAACCCACAAACCGTGAGATCATGACCTGAGCCGAAGTTGGACGCTCAACTGACTGAGCCACCCAGGCGCCCCAACAGTTGATTGTTTTTAAATGGCAAGTTAATATTTTTCACAACTAATTTTTGACACTTAGGGAGAAAAGGCTAACGGTTTACTACAACTATTAAGTGATAAGTCCTATAAAGAAAACAACCTACCTTATAAATGATGTGTAATGGAAAAAAATTGGCTTTTTAAAGATGATTATGCAGTTTTTCCATTGGTCTCCTTTCCCCCATCCTGTTCTTCAAAATTGTCTTCAATATTCTTGTCTTTTTGTTCTTCCATGTGAATTTTAGGATAAGCTTGCTTACCAAATTAGACACATCCACCCACCAGTTTTTAGCTATTGTGAACAAGACTTCTTTAATAATCTAGTACAAATCTTTATGTAAACATATACTTTGATTTGTCTAAATACCTAGGAGTGGAATTACTTGGTCATCAGGTAGATGAGAGGCAAAGCAACTTTTTCCTGTATGAATAGTAAATCTCTGTCTGGGGAGTAAATAAATATATTTTAGACTTTGCAGATCACATGTTCTGCTACTTTTACTTATATATACATACATATGACTCTTTAGAAATGTAAAAACCATTTTTAACTTGCAAGCTATAAAATAACTGTCCTTAGATTGGATTTGGCCTGTGGGTGGGTGGTATTTTGTTGACTCCTGGCATTAATAGATGCATATTTAACTGTAAGAAGCTGCCACGGGTGCCTCGGTGGCTCAGTTGGTTAAGTCTGGTTCTTGATTTCGGCTCTGGTCATGATCTTGTGGTTTGTGAGATTGAGCCCCATGTTGAGCTCTGCACTGACAGCATACATCCTGCTTGGGATTCATTCATTCTCTCTCTCCCTCTCTCCCTCCCTCCCTCCCTCCCTCCCCTTCTCCCTGTCCCTCTCCCTCTCTCCCCCTTACTCCCTCTCAAAATAAATAAACTTAAAAAATAAGTGTTAGAAGCTGCCAAATAGTTGTTCTGTATGACTCTGCCACATTTTGCTCTCACCAGTAATGTACGAATGTTCATGTTGCTCTGCGTCCTTGCCTGGACTTGATCTCAGCAGTCCTTCTGATTTTGGCTATTCTGTTGGTGTTCACATGTTATCTTATTGTAGTTTTAATTTAAATTCTCTGATGAATATTGATGATGAGTACCTTTTCATATTAGTGGCCATTTATATTCTTAAGTGTTCAGACATAAAATTGGAAGAGCAAGTACAGTGAGTGCTTATACCTTTTGCTTGGACTCACCAGTTAACATTTGGACACATTTGCTTATAACTATGTCCATATGTATGAGTATAAATATATATTGTGTGTATATTTCTTCTTTTTTTATTTTGCTAAGGAAATTGGAAGTAAGTTACAGTCATGGCATTTCACCCCTAAATACTTAAGTTTTTATTTCCCAGGAAAAGGCTATTCTCTTACATATACCCTACCAAAGCTAGGAAAATTATTAGTAATTCTATAGTATAATACACAGACTGTATTCAAATTTTCCCATTTGTCTCCAAATGTCTTTACTTGTTTTTTTTTTTTAATGTAAGCTTTACACCCAACATGGGTCTTGAACTCATGACCCTGTAATGAAGATGCTCTACTTACAGAGCCAGCCAGGTGCCGCTCCCAATGTCTTTAGTATTTTTTTTTGACCCACAGTTCAGTCGCGGTTCATGAATTATATTCGGTTATTATGGCTCTTTAAAGAGTCTCTTAATCTAAAATAGTCCTCTTCCCTTCCCTCTTTGTTTGATTTTCATGATACCGACGTTTTGAGGAATCCAGGCCAATTGGCTTATAGATAGTCTGGGTTTGTTTCCTCACAGATAGATTCAGTGTAAATATTTTTTTTTTGATAAGAAAACTTCATAAGTGGGGCGCCTTCATTAGGGGGTGGCTCAGTTGGTTAAACGTCCTACTTCGGCTCAGGTCCCGATATCGCTGTGAGTTTGAGCCCTGCGTTGGGCTCTGTGCTGACAGCTCAGTCTGCAGCCTGCTTTAGATTCTGCATTTCTCCCACTCTCACTCTGTTTTGTCTTGAAAGTAAATAAACGTTAAAAAAATTAAAAAAATACTTAAGTGATCCTGTTGTATCAAGAAGTTCATAATGTTGGGTGGTTTTGGTTACACTGATTACTTGGTTGAGGTAATGGTGCATTTTTTCCCCCTCTTTTGAAATTAATTTTTGGGGGTGAATCTTTGAATCCATGTGAATATTTGTCCCCCAACAACCTCTCATCTACTATTTTTCATCCACTGATAAAAAGCATCTGATGCAATAATTACTTTGGTTGCATTTGTCTTGTGCTATCTGTTGAGAAGTCTGTCAGGTCTACTCCATTTTGAATCTACCTTTTTTTCCCCCCTTATATATTTGAATCCCCTTTCATGTCTTACTCATTTTTAACTACTTACTTTTTTAGAATTTATTTATTTTGAGAGAGTGCATGCGCATGTGCTAACCAGGGAGAGAGAGAGAGAGGGAGAATCCTAAGCAGACTCCACCCTGTGAGCACAGAGCCTGATGCGGGGCTTGAACCCAGGAACCGTGAGATCATGACCAGAACCAAAACCAAGAGTTGGGCACTTAACTGACTAAACTACCCAGGTGCCCCTTTACTTATTTTAAAGCTTCTATCATACTGCTGTATTATTCCAAGTTCTTAAGTGTCTACTTCTGACTTCTTACACAATGGATGAGCTTTTCATTTGTGTGGATCTTGGCTTGTGACCTCCTATCTGGTGTCTTTAATGTTGAATCCCAGCATGGTTTGGGTTGCAGATACGGCCTTGTTGGGTGGATGCTATATTTGTTTCTGCCAGACTCTAGGGTACCCTTCTTCTGGTACTAATGTTTCTGTTAACTTATTGGCATGAAGGTTGCTGAATTTTGAGGATAATGGAAAAAACAAAATGAAATGACATATATCCCTCCCTCTCTTGAATAGACCCATGGTTTCTAATTTACAGAGGAGACTTCTTACTTTGAACTACAGCAGATAATTTTATTATTATTTTTTTTATTTATTTAAAAAAATTTTTTTAAGGTTTATTTATTTTTTTGGGACAGAGAGAGACAGAGCATGAACGGGGGAGGGGCAGAGAG